GCAATGACACAGGTCAAACGTTTTCTGTAAGTCTTCACAAGGTTTTCACACACTGTTGCTGGTATTTTGGCCCATTCCTCCATGCAGATCTCCTTTAGAGCAGTGATGTTTTGGGGCTGTCGCTGGGCAACACGGACTTTCAACTCCCTCCAAAGATTTTCTATGGGGTTGAGATCTGGAGACTGGCTAGGCCACTCCAGGACCTTGAAATGCTTCTTACGAAGCCACTCCTTCGTTGCCCGGGCGGTGTGTTTGGGATCATTGTCATGCTGAAAGACCCAGCCACGTTTCATCTTCAATGCCCTTGCTGATGGAAGGAGGTTTTCACTCAAAATCTCACGATACATGGCCCCATTCATTCTTTCCTTTACACGGATCAGTCGTCCTGGTCCCTTTGCAGAAAAACAGCCCCAAAGCATGATGTTTCCACCCCCATGCTTCACAGTAGGTATGGTGTTCTTTGGATGCAACTCAGCATTCTTTGTCCTCCAAACACGACAAGTTGAGTTTTTACCAAAAAGTTATATTTTGGTTTCATCTGACCATATGACATTCTCCCAATCCTCTTCTGGATCATCCAAATGCACTCTAGCAAACTTCAGACGGGCCTGGACATGTACTGGCTTAAGCAGGGGGACAGGTCTGGCACTGCAGGATTTGAGTCCCTGGCGGCGTAGTGTGTTACTGATGGTAGGCTTTGTTACTTTGGTCCCAGCTCTCTGCAGGTCATTCACTAGGTCCCCCCGTGTGGTTCTGGGATTTTTGCTCACCGTTCTTGTGATCATTTTGACCCCACGGGGTGAGATATTGCGTGGAGCCCCAGATCGAGGGAGATTATCAGTGGTCTTGTATGTCTTCCATTTCCTAATAATTGCTCCCACAGTTGATTTCTTCAAACCAAGCTGCTTACCTATTGCAGAATCAGTCTTCCCAGCCTGGTGCAGGTCTACAATTTTTACAATTACCTACAACACATTTTACCATTATATACTGTATGCCATGTTAATATGATATCTGAGTGAGAGTGACTAACAAAATCAATGGGGGTCCCCTGGAGGTCAGGGCCTCTTGGCACGTGCCCTTCGTGCCCGGTCGATAATTCAACCATGATTACTAGTTTTAGATAGCTGGCTAGACTAACTTATCAATCTAAAAAATTTTAGCTGACATGGGCAAATTGAGTGACTGTCAGGGACTGCTGATGCACAACCAAATTTCGAAATTGCACCTTGTGTATTCTACAATTCTAACTCTCAACAGTAAGTTCAGAACCCACCTGTTCCTAAAACTCTGTTTTTTGAGGGGGTCAGTGGCCGTCTAGCAACCGGGGGCCCTAAGCGACCACTTATGTTGCTTTATGTCCAGGGCTGGCCTTGATACTATACTATCACATGACAAGCAACAGACAACAGTTACCACATGCTCCTCACACCCTGTTCACAGGTAAGATCATAGCCGCGGAAAGTAGGGGTGCTGACAACCAACCCTTGAGACAACCAACCCCTAAGACAACCAACCCTTGAGACAACCAACCCTTGAGACAACCAACCACTGAGACAACCAACCCTTGAGACAACCAACCCTAGTCTCCCATACCAATCGACTTCTGTGACAATGTGTATCCTCTTATCTCCAAGGGAACAGATTCCTTTTTCTCAGTTATGACCTTGCATTAATTATTCAGGGTATGAATACGATTTGTCCAACTCTCGTATTCTGGGATGATCTCTTTGCTTGTTCATGGTGTCTGGCTAATCCACTTTTAATGTGGGTATAAAATGTCTTGCTATGCGTAATTAACAAAATGTGTCTCTAAAAGGACCTAGAAGCTTTTACTGTACATAACATGATAGGAAGGTTATGGTCTGTCAGTCATGATATATTGGTCACTAATTGCTATCAGCCTACTCTGTTTTCAAGTATTTATAAGGACAGCTGGTGAGAGTCGACATTTCAAAGGCTGCTGATTGCACTCTTGTTAATTTTTTTTCCTGGAGTAAATCTAATTCAAATGGATTTATAACGGCATTTTGTTTTGGGGAGTATTTCTTGTGGAATTTATGAAAGCTTGGGAGTGCTTTGGGCAAGCAGTTGAGCCCTCTGCCAAGATATTAACTGAGGCTGGTATTCAATCAATTGCAGAAAGTGTATTTTCAGAAAGCACTTTCAAAATTATGTTTAATTTCCACAGCTGCTGTACCAATCAAACACAATTCTGAAAGCACTACAGCTGTAGGATCTTCTTTTGAGCCAGTGTGCTAAGGCAGGACAATAGTCCTGCAGCAATTTGAAATGTTCATTATTATGTGAATTATAATTAATGGATATTTTTGTAGTCGTTGATACATATTAAAAGAATTCCCATCAAGTCCGTCAGATTAAACTTAAAATACACTACCATTTTTACATTACCTGCATTTCAGGAAGGTTATTCTACAACAGGGTGATCAAATTAAGATCCTATAGCTGTATCACTTATTAAAACTAAGTTAGATTTTCATAGCTGCTGTGCCAATCAAACACAATTCTGAAAGCAATAACTGGAAACCCACTATCAGCCATTGATTTAATACCGGTAGCCTTAGTAGTTGTGTTTTTGTTGCTGTAATTAAACACTCGTAATTCAATGTCTTGGAGCAGTAGAGAAGGGAAAACAATGGAACGATCTGAAGTTCAGTGTTTGTGGGTTTCCATTAGTTACCACAGCCACAAAGTCAAAATTGGCTATATAGTAAAAATTCATGAAAACCAAAAATTTGCTTTTCGGTCTTAATTGAATGTTAGGGTTAGGAATAAGGTTAGCAGTGTAGTTAAGCTTATGGTTAGGGTTAGGTTTAAAATCCCATTTTAAGAAAATAAATTGGAGGGGTGTATGACTTTGTGGCTGTGGTAACTAGTGACAACCTTTGTGCCAAGTTGAAGTCTTTTCTCTCAAGTTAGCTCTGGTCTCATGATAAAACCAGCGTCACTTCGCAATGGAGAAGATACGAGAGCATGAAATAAACAAGGCTATTTCTGTCAGGCGACATTAAATGGAGGACAAAACCTGAGCTGCCTGCCTGCATTTATAGTGACTGTCAGTTCAGCTGTTGGCTCAACAAGAGAACACTCCAGTGATCCCAAAGACATACTTCATGCAGTCAACTGCAAGTTTGCAAAAACGTATTTTGTCAGCACTTATATGTAGCATAGTAAAATACAAAGTTGTGTCGATTCAGAGAAATTGCTCATTGCAACAAGGCTGCAATTAAAGGGACATTTAACCCTTTTTCAATTTCATATTCATCATCTCCAGCACCACTCCAACATCAACATATGTGAAAATTCGAGTTTCTATGTTTTGTAGTAAAAAATATAGAAGGTAAGTGTTACATCAACCAATTAGTAGGCAATTAGTAGGCAACACCTACTCATAATTTGTTCAAATCACATGATGCACACCGATGATGTCATTTGAAACACTTATCTTCCTCTATCTTTTTTATTACAAAACATAGAAACACGCCATTTTCACATATCTTGATGTTGGGGGTGGTGCTGGAGATTTTGAATATGAAGTAAAAAATGTTGACATTTCCCTTTAATGAAGTGTCACTATATGGCACTCCTAATCTCTGGTGGACAGATCTACTGGTACAGCAGAATCTGTCGGGAAGGAATGGGACGCATGGGCCAACGAGCAGCAGTAGTTATTTGGACAAATCACGATTTCGCAGGTGTTAACATCTTTCGAATTTCAGAAGGTTCAGAAGGCAAATTCGGCCCGTAACTTGCAAAGAGAGAGGTTCCGCAACTCATTCCGGTTCTAGCATCTCTTCATCTCTTCTCGTAACACGTATGGACCCAGAACTTAATCAAGCAGCTGACCAATTACGCAAGCCTTTAGTTCTGGTTTAACCAACATTATGACACTCCCAATAAGCGAGTTAGTGGCATGGCGTCACTGTGCTAGCCAAAGAAATGACTGTTGATTGCAATGCCATTTATTTTTACCAGCATGATCCATCTCTCTAAACTGGTAGTAAGGGATTCTAACCATTTACTTTATGTTAATTTCCTCAGGACATTTAAATCACATGTACAAAGTATGACCCAGTACAAGCACGATACTTCAATATTGAACACTCATAGTCTTGGTTCAGTTGTAATAAATACTGTAGGCTACACATACTTGCAGGTTGACGTTCATTGTCATGAATCTTGCCCTGGAGGCAGAATTGAGCGATTTCCACTAGATGGCCAGATGCAAAGTCAAAATTGGCTATATTGTAAAAATTCATGAAACAAGATTCATGACGAAAAACTCTAACCTGTCACATACTTCCTCATCATTGTGTAAACTGTTGTGGAGTTAAGGTGTAAGTGAACAGATTCACTGGATTATTAATAGGGAGACCCACAGAATGTATATTAATTTATTTTGTTTGACGTTGTTAGATAATACAAAACATGTTTTCTTTCTAAATGGAGGAGGGAAAAAAATGCACTTGTCTGCATATGTTCTCTGTCTCTTGCTCAGTCAGCCAACAATCATTAACTGTGAGCTCTTAAAATGTGAACAGGGCAGGACTCATTTCTCCCTCCTACGTGTACATATTCATGTAGTCTGAATGGAGCTTCTGTTCTGACACATTCCATTTTGAGTACTACATCCCAAAACTAATTTGGAAAAACACTGCATTATTCTCTTGAGCAGCTTTGGGCTTATTTCATGCAGCTCTGACCAGAATAACTAAAGCAAGCAGAAGGATAAACCACATCTCAGGACTTTTTTACTCTCTTGCAACATCCTTTTAAATGGTAGAAATACATACTTTATAGGTATAAATAATCACAATATGTGTATCGCTAGTGTGTGACAGTGCTTCAGTAATGTAGGTTAACTACAAACTCAGATCATTTGATTTGAATAGTTTTTTAATGTGAAGATCATGGACATAAGATGATAAGAATAACTTGTTGTGTAACCATCAAACAATTTGTTCCTTTCTTATTTACAGGTCTCAGAAGAAGAAGTGTCATCCAAGCTTCTGTTTTATACATTTGTGCCGGAGCTGAAGACATTGCCAATTAAAATCACGCTCACAGAGGCTGCGAAAACAGGACTACTTACAGGCAAACCAAATAAGGTACTTGGCACCAATTTCCATCAGCCACTTTTGTGTGGTCTCAATTCTTACACTGTAAAAAAAAAAAGATGTTGAGTCAACGTAAAATAGTAATAGGATTGTGAATTTGCAGCTGGTTGCCTTACAATTGTACGTTGAATCAATGTTTGCGTCCATTTCCACAGTGGTCTCAAACTTTGACTGTAGCTTTTGTTGGTTTTCAATGCACCTGATTAGGCAATCATCATGTTTATACAACCTCAGTTGTCAATTAGGCACTGTTGATATGGGAATCCGTTTTTCATTGAGCGAATCTTTCACACAATGCCCATGGGATTTTCAATGCTCTTCAATTCAAGCACTCAGTTGGTGAATCAATTTAGTTCAGGCAACCATGAAGCAAGTCTGTTTGCTCTGTAGTGTAGAAAAAGACTGCACTATGACATGGACAGAATTGCATCAGGCTTGTAGTACATGAAGTGTGGTTGTGAACAATATCCAGAGGAACTGGCTCAATAGGTAACCATAGAAACACATGTAAAGAGTTCAAACACTCCAGGCCTTTTTTCTTTACCATGGTAACATACAGAACACAGGAGAAAGCACATCAGCAAGGTATTTATTTAGAGGCAACCTTAGGATGCCCTTAGAGATGAATATGAAGGTCTGAGTTATGCACATGGATCTCTAAGAGTCTGTTGTTCAGAAAACCAGCAGATGTCAGGAGGTTTTTTCATAGGTGAATATAAACTGCAGGTGCACTCTGTGAGCAAACATGAAGTAGTATACAGTATATAAAGCTGAGTGACATAAATGTGAGTTGATCCTTATCACGATCTGAATGTTCTTTACTACGTTCTCCCCAATATTCTCTCCATCCCTAGCACGATTAGGACCAATAATAGAATGTGTTGTGCTTACTAGCAATAACCATTTCCAGGACTTAATATTGTTGGCACTTAATGCTGTTCAGAATTAAACTTGCCATTGAAAACTGCTATGACATAGTTCTATTCAAATGCAGCTTTACTAAGCAATATCCTGTCGTTTTGCATAACTGTAGTGCCATTACAGACAACTGAATTTAAAATGTACGATTTTAGAGATATCATATATTAATTTGACAGTATTACTCATGTTCCCTCTCTTGCCATTCAGATGTTCAATTATGAACTATAGGTTATATGCTAGCATGGAATGAATGAGATATGTTATACAAGCCATTTTCACATACACAATGTACTATTCAGCCAAGACGTATGAATGCTACAAAGAATAATCAGGATAAGCAGACTGAAACTAAAGGGGAGATGAGGGTACATTCTTGAAAGAGATATTGTAGCAAATGTATGAAAAAGTCAAACCCATACAGACATTTCAAATGTCGTTAGAGTGGTCTTGCACGTATTTCATCAATGGAATTGTAATGAATGGAATGGATTTGAATTTATGGAATGGAATTTGAATTTATGGAATGGAATTTGAATTTATCGCAGCTTCAAACCTTATAGAATGAACTGGCATTGTGGATAAAATATTCTTAATATCATGGATTGGTCTCATTCTAGTCAATCATACTGTATGCTTATTGGTTTGGATTATGCAACAACAACTGTTGTTAAAACAGCTTCTCATACAGTAGAAGTCCAGCTTTACCTTTTTGAACATCCATTTTCCGTACTATTGAAAGAAAGACAGAATACATTATGTTTTCTCCACATAATAATCACATTTTAAATGCAGCATACATCCAGTTAACATCTAGTGAATCCAGTTAACCTCTGAAATAAAACACACTGAAAAAACACAATGAATGTTTCATTTCATTTAGACAGTGAAGAAAGACTTATAAATACATTGATTTATTATGAAATAACCCTGAGGGTAATTGTGATTATATGGAGGGCATACTGTGTAGTCAGTCAGTCAGTCATCCAGGCCGGGTATCCCTTCTCCCCTAGAGAAATGACTTACTATAATTGTAAACAACAAAAAGTATCAGTTAAGCTCTTACTCAACCAGTGGGGCATGTGGTAGTGCATGTGTACAGTTCATGTGGGACATGTGTTCTGGTAAAAGGAAACCCAGGAGAGAGACACAATTACACATCCCGCTCTCGCTTAGGAGCTGGAAGTTATACACAGGGACTTGCCGAGGTTCACTTCAGGATTGCTCAGGTTACAGTAACTCATCTAAGTGGCTCATCAACGTTTCCTGATCCTCTGTCAGAATTTAGGAGTTCCCAAGCAGAAGGTGACTGAAGACACCATGTCGGACGGAGGGCTTTTCAAGGCGGAGGTGATCTATATCAGGGACTGTGAAAAACGTGGAGCAGGGGACATGGTCCAACAGGAGACAAATACTTGGGTAAGTGCGTATGCTTATGTTCTACTCTTGCTACTTCAATGTGATAATCACATTTACAGCAGAACCAACAACAACGCTGATCAAAAAGTACATCTTAAAGCTTGTGATTCATTTTCTATATGTTGCACCTTCTTAGCTTGGGGCCTATAAATAATTTAGTAACTTTAATAGAAGTTGGGCAAGAATATTTTACAATAGCAATGCTTTGTCAAGGATAACAGCTTGACTCCCTTCCATATGTGACCATTTTAATGACATAGCTTCTGAGATTACATCTATACATGGTAATAAAAATGACACACAAATGGCAGATCAGAATTTTTTGTTCCAACCCTACTTGCCATAATCCATACTGTTCCAATTGTTGTGACCTTTGCTTGTACCTTTTTCAACGAGAGAACATGCCTTCTGAGATTCCATTTTTAAATAGTATTTTGCGTTACTAACAAAATGGACATATGAAGCTTTGGTTCCAATCCTGATTTGAAGTTGGGTCTCAGATATGCAATGTATTAGTGATTATGTAAAAATCCAGTTTTGTTTACCCTTTTCTAAATTGTATTTGCCTGAGACTGCTTTAATTACTTTGCAAATGAACGGCAAAATGTTTATCTATCATGGTTCAATAATTCAGAATTTGAAATAAAAAATTAAATCTACCTCATTGACAGTCATCTTCAGTTATCATTAGTCGACAATGTGTTAATTCATATTCATAGAACCTTTTCACCCCTATCCCATGTTTTTTTTCTTCTCAGTTGATATCTCCTCCTGATCACACAACCCCACCCCAGACCCCTCCCCCTATCAATGCCCAGGCAGAAAATACAGCCTACCATTTTGTATCCGGGCCCGCTACTATGGAAACAGCTGTTAACAAACACCAGGGCATTTATCAGCAGCAGTGTCACAACACCCCTGTGGGTGCTGAGGTCAGCTCGGGTCTCTTTTTAAATAGAGCGTCTGACTCCGATGAGAGACTAAGCCCCGCTAACTCCACAGACCTGTTTCCTGCTTCTTCAAAGAGTCAGAGTCAGGAGTCCATCCTCTCTGAGAGCTGGGACAAAGACAGGAGCTGGTCTGCACTGCAAATGTCCCCCGAGACTTCCCGCGCAGTGTCGCCGTGCTCCTCAGTGAGATCTGGCATGTTCACCCCCTCTGTGGTGCGAGTCAAGAGACACTCCCTAGAACCTGGCTCCAGTTTAGTCCACATGCCGCCAACCTGCTTCTCACCACCTTGTTGTGAAAGTCCCTCCTTGTCCCCCTGTCCCCTGTCCCCCCGCTCCCGCCACAGGCCCCCTCCCACGCGGCTCTCCCTGCTAACGGCTATCCTCCGGAAGGGCCGCCTGCCAGTCCTGTCTCCTACTCTGACTCTACAGAGACCCTACTCCCCCTGCTGGCCCATTCACCATGGGACTTCCTGTAATGCCTGCTCTGCAGCCTCCAGCGTGGCCTCTATTCCCCTGGAGGTGTTCTCATCCAGAGCCCAGTCCTCAGCCTCCATACACAGCCCAGCTCAGAGCTACCGTCACAGGGACGGATGCGTGTTAGAGTCCCTTAGGTCTGTCAATGCACCCCCGTCCATAGAGTCTAAGGAGCTCTCCACCTCATGGAGAATGGTTGGCCCTCATAGCCCACCATTAAGACATTCGGATGAACTGAAATCAAACAATGGAATTATCTCTGAGAGGGTCACCTCCCCCTCTTATCGAAGCCTTGGGGTTTCACCAGTCCCACCGTTGTCTCAACCGTTCCCTCAGAACCTCCCCAAACCAGTGGACTACACCAAAGTTCCAAGTCCACCTCTGTACTCATCACACTCAAGACTCAGACATCTGTCTCCTGAGCCACTCAACAACTCAGTAAACTCAAGACTTAACTCATTGTCGCCTGAGCCGAAACCAGTTAAGAACAAGGGGGCTTCTGTGCCCCACAATTCAAATCAACCTCTCTATTTGTCACACTCAAGACTTAAATGTCTGTCTCCTAACCCAGCTCACGACCAGGGGACCTCTGCATGTCAACCTCTTTACTCATCCTTCTCAAAGCTCAGGTCACTGTCTCCCGGACCAGTAAACACCTCATCAAACTCAACACTCGACTCACTGTCTGCCGAACCTAAACCAGTTAGCAAGAACCTTGTACATGCTCTGAATTCTCACCTACGGTCAAAGCTCAGCTTTCTGTCTTCTGCACCTGCTAATAACCAGGAGACCTTTAAGGCCCTCGTTACGTCTACACCTGAAGTTTCCTCCATGGGGACCTCTAACAATCGGGGGACCTCCATGGGGACCCTTAACACCTGGGGGACCGTAAGGCCACCCGTTTGGAGTCCACTGCCCTACTCATGTCTTTCCAGGCTGTCTCCTAAACCTAGCTCTCTCTCCTGCTGTGCCCCAGAGGGCCATCTTTCTGCCCCATCCCACTCACCCAGTGGCACAGTTTCCTCTGCACAGAGGCACACAGATGCAATATCACCAACCCCATTACAGAACGGCCTGAAAACACCTCCCCACTCGAGGCTGCAACTCAGTGTCTCCCCAGCCACCAGAGCTTTCCACCTCACTCCCACCCTCTACACACCCCCAGGATGTCCATCACCTAAGCCCCCCACTCCCCCCACTACACCCGACCGCTTCACCCTTTCCCCCTCTCCGGCGCCCCCGACCCGTGACCTCACCCCGTCTCCCTCTCTCTCCCTGCGCTCCACGCCCTCTCCATGCCTATGGAGGGAGATGTCAGACTCCCTTGAGACAAAAAGAAAGGTAGCTACTCTGCATGCTGGCACGCAGTCCAATCACATGCCACCTGCATGATTAAAGTAAACAAGGACAAAGGAAACTATTCATGTCCTGTGACAGACATCTAGTACTGTAAGGATGATTGAGTATCTGGCAAGATGCCGCTCGGCTAAACATGATCTTGCTAACTTACAACCTCTAACAGCAACTATATTGTCCTTGGTTCCCAACTGCCATATTTGCTTGTCAGAGTTAGACAGTTAGTCAAAGGTTTTTTCATGAAAATGTTGAAGTGTTCACATGCATTATGTCTAAACAGGACTGTATTGTTACATTGAGAAATGTAATCATTTTGAAAATGTCTAGCATAGGCCAGCCTGGGAATAGCACTATAAATAAGATTTCGTTGTCTATTTTTCACATCCCTCCTCCCATCCCTCTCAACTCTAGCCACACAAGATCAAGTTAAGCTACAAAGCCCTCGCTGCAATTCCCACAAACACCCTTCTGTTGGACCAGCAGGTGAGCACAGTCTGCAGATGTTTCTGTTGAAAACCCAGTATCTCTATCTCATTGCTAATTGACAATCAGCCAGAAACATGAACAATTAAACAGCTGCCAAATTATGGTTGATCCAGACACACCTGACCTGGATCAATCAGCAGTAGAAACAATAACACAGTGTTTTCCCTGCCCTTGTTTTGGTAAAAAGCTGACAGATAGGGCTGGAGAAATGGAACCACTCAAAATTATAGACAGAGTTATGGATGCAAGGACTGACCATCCATGATATCAACATTACAGTTTTAATCATGTTTTGAGGCTATGTATCATTTGTTGACATTTACTTTGTTTACAAACAATGGAGTACAATATGCTTACATTTTGGGTTCTGATGGGGTATGACAGTTTAACTAAGCTCATGAGGCATTTATCAGTTATATTCTTCAAGAATCAATGGGTACACATCATTAATTTCCAAAAATGTATGCAGTAACTGCTGATTGCCCCTTTAAGTTCAACAGTGTATTCCGATTTTGGGGCATCAAGTTGAGGAAGGAAAAATTGAAGCATTTTGAGTGACTGAAATGAGTCTGTTTTAATCAGTAAAATTGAGGAATAACATAAAATAATAAAATGCTTCTTGGAAAGAGTCACTACATTTAGACAACATAATTGGAACGAATTTATTTTGTTAATACAGAAAATGGTTTACCTTTGATTTTGCTTGTGACAGTGTTGATATACTTCGTACTGAGGATAGAAGTGGAAGACAGGAATCTTTACAAAATGCCTGACATCCTCAATCGCTTTACAAATGTTGATTCAACAGAAAATACATTAAAACATGCTCCATTGAATAACAAAAAATGTTTGTTAAACCTTGAAGGTTGTCCTCCTCATTCTGTGTAGATCACTTGACAAAGGAATAGAACATGTACTATGAAGAAAGAATTTCATACAGTATGTGCAGATCAGGAAAATTCTCACACAACAGGGTGATAAAATGTAGATCCTACACCTGTATGTACTGTACTGTCCTGCATGTTGTGTCCATTGATGTTTTCATCTCAATCTATGTTGCTTTCACAGGCAATTGATGATCAAGTGGACAAAGAAGGAGATTCACAGGACCCAGTGGACATACGTAAGCAAGAAGACACACATGCAGAGGTACAGTACAGTGGAGTACAGTGCAGAACAGTGTGGTCTCTGATTCCTAAGACACTGTGTACTTATTATTATTGTAATTATTTTGTAAATGTATTCTATGAACCTTGAAAAATACCAGAAAAATATAGATGCTTGATTGCCACAACTTTTCTTTACACATTTTGCACATGTACTGTAGATGTATTTGACTTTGAGGCAACTGAGCATCTGTACTGTAAAAACAAGTCAAATGTTTTCTCTGAAGTGTTCTGAAACCAATTTAGTCAGTTCTAAAGTAAAGTGCTAATTTCTATTTTAAAACCATATATTGCAGGACTATCTAGACTGATGATAAAGGTCTCATTTAGAATATTAAAGTAACTATAGCCTTGCCTATATACTGCAAGAATGCTGATTTAACTGCTGGTTCTCTCTACAGATGTGTTCCCCTGCACAGTTGCGAAAGCAGTCAAAAGATCTGTATGCTGTCATTGACCAAGTGTTAGAGGACCCCATTCCAATGGTGAATTTTGTATTTCCCTGCACTCACTTGAACCAAAATGGAAGAGATCAAATGAAGTGTTCTCTTTTATGATTACTTTTGCCATCTTTCAGCGCCAAGTATCTCCTGCCCTTGCACACCCCAGGGAATCAAGGGACAAATGTGCACCAAAGGTATGTAAAAAGCAGTTCAGGTGGGCCTTAGCACTTCAGCAAACAAAGGAAAGGGAGGGGTGCTCAATAACAATGACAAAAATCATGAGAAGAGCTTACCAAGAAAAACTTCCAATGTAAGAAGCACTCACAGTAATATGTTGAATAGAATATAACAACTTTTTTTCCCCAGAAGGAACTTCAGTTGTGGCAATATTTAATTTATTTATTTAACCTTTATTTAACTAGGTCCGGGAAGTCAGTTAAGAACAAATTCTTATTTACAATGACGGCCTACTAAAGATAAAGATATATAGTAAACGTACAAACAGCAACATTCACTAGTTATAATTGTAATTGCTTAGCAGATAATAAGAAAATAATAACAATATTTACCTGGCTCAAAGAGAAGGTATATAATATCTATTGTTTACAGGAAACTCATTCAACAATTTTAGAGGAAGTTGTGTGGAAAAAGGACTGGGGGGGGAGAAATATACTTCTCCCATGGGCAAAGAAACTCAAAAAGGGTGATGATATTAATTAACAATAATTTTGATCTGAAAGTGCAAATTGTCCAAACAGATCCGCAAGGTAGATGTATGATTTTAAATATGTTATTGGACTATAAACAGATATGGCTCATTAACCTTTACGGACCAAATAATGATGATCCACGCTTCTTTGAAAATACAGTGGGGAGAACAAGTATTTGATACACTGCCAATTTTGCAGGTTTTCCTACTTACAAAGCATGTAGAGGTCTGTAATTTTTATCATAGGTACACTTCAACTGTGAGAGACGGAATCTAAAACAAAAATCCAAAAATCACATTGTATGATTTTTAAGTAATTAATTTGCATTTTATTGCATGACATAAGTATTTGATACATCAGAAAAGCAGAACTTAATATTTGGTACAGAAACCTTTGTTTGCAATTACAGAGATCATACATTTCCTGTAGGTCTTGACCAGGTTTGCACACACTGCAGCAGGGATTTTGGCCCACTCCTCCATACAGACCTTCTCCAGATCCTTCAGGTTTCGGGGCGGTCGCTGGGCAATACGGACTTTCAGCTCCCTCCAAAGATTTTCTATTGGGTTCAGGTCTGGAGACTGGCTAGGCCACTCCAGGACATTGAGATGCTTCTTACGGAGCCACTCCTTAGTCGCCCTGGCTGTGTGTTTCGGGTCGTTGTCATGCTGGAAGACCCACCCACGACCCATCTTCAATGCTCTTACTGAGGGAAGGAGGTTGTTGGCCAAGATCTTGCGATACATGGCCCCATCCATCCTCCCCTCAATACGGTGCAGTCGTCCTGTCCCCTTTGCAGAAAAGCATCCCCAAAGAAGGCTGTTTCCACCTCCATGCTTCACGTTGGGATGGTGTTCTTGGGGTTGTACTCATCCTTCTTCTTCCTCCAAACATGGCGAGTGGAGTTTAGACCAAAAAGCTCTATTTTTGTCTCATCAGACCACATGACCTTCTCCCATTCCTCCTCTGGATCATCCAGATGGTCATTGGCAAACTTCAGACGGGCCTGGACATGCTCTGGCTTGAGCAGGGGGACCTTGCGTGTGCTGCAGGATTTTAATCCATGACGGCGTAGTGTGTTACTAATGGTTTTCTTTGAGACTGTGGTCCCAGCTCTCTTCAGGTCATTGACCAGGTCCTGCCGTGTAGTTCTGGGCTGATCCCTCACCTTCCTCATGATCATTGATGCCCCACGAGGTGAGATTTTGCATGGAGCCCCAGACCGAGGGTGATTGACCATCATCTTGAACTTCTTCCATTTTCTAATAATTGCGCCAACAGTTGTTGCCTTCTCACCAAGCTGCTTGCCTATTGTCCTGTAGCCCATCCCAGCCTTGTGCAGGTCTACAATTTTATCCCTGATGTCCTTACACAGCTCTCTGGTCTTGGCCATTGTGGAGAGGTTGGAGTCTGTTTGATTGAGTGTGTGGACAGGTGTCTTTTATACAGGTAACGAGTTCAAACAGGTGCAGTTAATACAGGTAATGAGTGGAGAAAAGGAGGGCTTCTTAAAGAAAAACTAACAGGTCTGTGAGAGCCGGATTTCTTACTGGTTGGTAGGTGATCAAATACTTATGTCATGCAATAAAATGCTAATTAATTACTTAAAAATCATATAATGTGATTTTCTGGATTTTTGTTTTAGATTCCGTCTCTCACAGTTGAAGTGTATCTATGATAAAAATTACAGACCTCTACATGCTTTGTAAGTAGGAAAACCTGCAAAATCGGCAGTGTATCAAATACTTGTTCTCCCCACTGTATATATAATAAATTATCAACCCTGCAAGCAATACAAGACTCTATTATTATGGTGGGAGATTATAATACTGTTTTAAATACCTCAATGGACCGTAAAGCAAATCACACTACAAACTATCACCCCCATGCTCTTAAGGAAATCATGAATGTCATGGATATATTGGAACTAGTGGATATATTGAGGCTTAAATATCCTGACCTAGTGATGTATACATGGCAGAGGCTCAATCAAGCTAGTCGTCTTGACTTCTTCCTTATGTCATTCTCGTTGGCAACAAAAGTTTAAAAAGTGTTGATAGGGGACAGAATGATCATCAGATAATTGGCATATACATTACTCTTACTGAATTTCCATGTGGGCGAGGATATTGGACATTTAATCAAAGCCTATTGGATGCTAACTTGTTTTTAACTAGGACAGAGGAATTTATAACTGAATTTTTCCGTCATAACATAGGTACAGCAAATCCCCTTATTGTATGGGACACTTTTAAATGTGCCTTTAGAGGCCATGCAATTCAGTACTCATCTCGAAAACAAAAGCAATTTATGTCAAAAGAATCCATACTAACAAAGGAAATAGAAGGTCTAACAGAACAGAAAGACAGCAATAAAAACTGTACCATAGAGGCTCAGAATAACAAAAAGGAATGGAGGAACTTATTCAAGAAAGATCAAGTGTAAGATAATATAAAAAATAAACCAAACTGGATGGAATATGGGGAAAAATGCACCAAATTATTTTTTTATCTTCAACATAGAAATGCTACCAAAAATAATTTCCTGAAAACTGGTTACATTTACATTTTACATTTTAGTCATTTAGCAGACGCTCTTATCCAGAGCGATTTACAGTTAGTGAGTGCATACATTTTTCATACTGGCCCCCCGTGGGAATCAAACCCACAACCCTGGTGTTGCAAACGCCATGCTCTACTAACTGAGCTACACGGGTCACAAATGACAGAGTCACCCATGATTCACCAATTGATATTTTGAAAGAGGAAGCAAAGTACTTTAAGCATATGTTTTAGTTTCAGTCTCCTCCATCTCCTCTAACCGAAGCTAATTGTACAGATTTTTTTTCTATTGATAATGTAAAATTAACAGCCGTACAGAAAGATTCATGTGAAGGCGAAATTACAGAGGAGGAACTTCTTCATGCAATTAAAGCCTTTAAGTCCAGGAAAACTCCAGGGCTGGATGGCATACCAGTTGAGGTATACCAAACCTTTTTTGATATACTCAGAGGACCGTTATTAGCATGTTTTAACCACTCCTATGTAAATGGTAGATTATCAGACACTCAACAAGAAGGTCTGATTTCATTATTACTGAAACAGGATACAAGTGGTAAATATAAAGATCCAGTCCATTAAAAAAGATTGGAGGCCCCTTTCATAGTGTTGTGATGCAAAGATTCTAGCAAAATGTATAGCGCATAGAATTTAAAAGGTATTGTCGGACGTTATTCATTCTAATCAGACAGGTTTTTTACATGGACGATAGATTGGTGATAATATATGGCAAGTATTGGAAACAATAGAACACTATGAAAAATATGGGAAACCAGGCCTGGTATTCATAGCTGACTTTAAAAGGCTTTTGATAAAGTACGACTGGAGTTTATATATAAATGCCTAGAACATTTCAATTTTGGAGAATCTCTTATAAAATGGGTTAAAATCATGTATAGTAACCCTAGGTGTAAAATAGTAAATAATGGCCACTTCTCCGAAAGTTTTAAACTGTCAAGCGGAGTAAAACAAGGTTGTCCACTATCGACATATATATTTATTATGGCCATCGAAATGTTAGCTATTAAAATCAGATCCAATAATAATATCAAGGGATTAGAAATCCAGGGCTTAAAAACAAAGGTGTCGTTGTACGCTGATGATTCATGTTTTCTTTTAAATCCACAACTTGGATCCCTCCACAGCCTCATAGAGGATCTAGATCATTTTTCTAACCTCTCTGGATTAAAACCAAATTATGATAAGTCTACTATATTACGTATTGGATCACAAAAAAATACAACTTTTACATTACTGTGTAGTTTACCAATAAAATGGTCTGATGGTGATGAGGATATACTCGGTATACATATCCCGAAAGAAAGAAATGATCTCACTCCAATAAACTTTAATAGAACGTTTGCAAAAATAGATAAGATCTTGCTACCACGGAAAGGTAAATACCTGTCTATTTGTGGAAAAATCACCCTGATTAACTCTTTAGTCCCAGTGTACCTATTTGTTTATGGTCTTGGCTACACCTAGCGAACAGTTTTTGAAATTATACGAGAAAAAAATATTCCATTTTATTTGGAATGGAAAGCCAGACAAAATTAAACGGGCCTATTTATATAATGATTATGAATTCAGAGGGCAGAAATTATTAAATATTAAAGCATTATACAGTGGGGGAAAAAAGTATTTAGTCAGTCACCAATTGTGCAAGTTCTCCCACTTAAAAAGATGAGAGAGGCCTGTAATTTTCATCATAGGTACACGTCAACTATGACAGACAAAATTAGAAGAAAAAAAATCCAGAAAATCACATTGTAGG